TATTCTTTGAATTTCCTGCAAGGTTTCACTTTTGGTTTCATTGTTATTCCGAACCAATTCCTTGTTCACCTCCTTCAATTTCTGTTCTAAATCCTGGGACAGATCATCTATTTCACGCTTAAGTTCGATGCGCGCCTCGCTCAACTCCTTTTCAATGCCTTTCACCTGTCCATTGAGATCCCTTAGGCTTTCCATGCATTCAGGATACCAAAATATTAGGACTCTACTCTGCATTATTAGGCAGTGGACTTCTGAGCTGGAAATACGCGAGCAGGTCTTGCATATGATTTTTTTGCAGGAATCACAGGGGAATCCAAAAAGCTCACCCTTCTCATCTTTGGGCTTACAAGGATTTTGACATTTAAAGCAATTATAAACTGCAGACTGAGAGAGCTTTGGCATTTCAAGTGTTTTGCTTTAATTTGGTTTAAATCATTCTGGAGCGAATCAGAATTGTTGGCGGGACCATAAATTTGTATGTCGTCGGCGACATACAAATCATTAGGTTGAGGAGATCTATAGTGTAAGTTACAGACAACGGAGGTGCAAGTACCGAGCCTTGGGGATGTCACTTTGTACTGGATATAGTTCAAAGTATGAGCCGCCAACTCTAACTCTGAACTCCCTGTTTGTGAAATAGTCTTTGGTCAAAGGCAGTAAATCCTCACTCACACCAAAATGATCCAGTTTAGCAGGCAAAATCCAAGTATATGACATCAATGTGAGTTTTTTGATTTGATGATTTCGTCGAGTTGTTAGGACAGTCAAGAAGGCAAGTTGTGGTACTCCGTTTTGATACAACACCATGTTGTTGAGTTGGAATCAATTGTTCTTGTTCAAGAAAACTTCTCAGATTTTCTGCGACAATGGATTCCACGATTTTGCTTACAATCGGTAGGAAGCTTATTGGTTCGTAGTTTCCAGCATCTATAGCTAGTTTATCGCCTTTTTTGTATATCGAGGTGACTGATGCAACTTTCCAAGCGGCAGGGAGCCGTTTTTGCCCCAGTGACATATTCATTATTCAATAATAATAATATCCCAAAATGGTAAGTAATAAATAATATTATTAGATAATAATAAATCCCAATATCAGTGCATAAAAATCTAGTCTCAGCTGAGTCTTCTGGTGCCAACAGAGGCGTGAAATTCAGTTTGTCTCATCATCATCATGATTGTATTGGTCATAATCAAATAGCTTAAAACAACTTTATATAGAAAACTTTAGCTACAGTGTTTTTTATTTTCTTCCTTTACTGCTATTCTTGGTGATTCTGCGGTTTCTATGTTTTGTGTCCGTTCTCTTTCTCTTTTAACTCTTTCCATTTTTGTTACGTTATTGTAGTGATATTATCTTTAATTTTTGTTGTTCTAATGTTTGTTGGTATTCTCCAACTTTCTGTTTTGTTTTTTTTTTCATCTCCTATCAATATGCGTACAGTTTCTTCTCTCGACTATTTTATTTTGTGCTCTTGCTTGTGCTTCTTCATATACCTATTTCTTTGTCTCCTGTTTTATTTGTACTTAGGTATTGTTGCTATTTCTTCCTTCTGTCTGCTATGTCTTTCTTGATTTCTTCATCCCACTAATAGGGTATTTGTGTTTAATTTTTTCTTGGAATTTGCCTAAGGCTTCAAATGCTGGTAATGCATTTCAAGATTTTGGAAGTTCCGACTACTCTGTAACTTTTGGTCGAACCAGGTTATATATAACTCCATAACGCTTTGTTCTTCTAGATATTTTACGTTGTATTTCTTAGTAGGAAATATGAGTGGACCATTAATAAAATAACATCAGAGTCGTGTGAAACGTCCAAAAACTTAGGCTCCATCTTGGCTTCTTTCTTTCGGTTGTCCCTTGCAATTTTTTTTCAACTTCTTCCAGAGATTTGTGTTTTCAACAGGTAGGGGTCACTACCATAGAACGAACCCGGGCGTTTTATGTTTGATCTTCCTTTTGCAATAGTGCAAGCATTTTTTGTTGCCTAGTATAGTTTTTCCCCGTTTATTTATGTATTTCTTAAAATGCTAAAAGCATCCATTTAAATTTTTTGGTTATTTTGTTGCCATGTTGCTTTCTCCATCTCCGTCCGAATTTACCCTCTATACCTTGTCGCTGCTTTTTCTTTTCATTCTTCGATTGAAGTCTCTCAGCTCAGCAATATTATTTCCCTTGAATTTTCTACTTCTATGATTTGGTCAATGAGTTGTTGATAGAGTACACATTTTATACTGACGGGTTCATCGTTATTCACTCTAACGATCTTCCCAAACTTGTTATTTTTCTTCCAAACTTGCAAACATGTTATTGTTTCGTTTAATGCACCGCATGAAATGGTCATAATCTCCAACCTTTTCTTCATTAGTTAAATGTATTCCAAATAATATTCAAAATGAGGTATTAGGTAATCAATTATAACAATTTAAGTTGGTCGTACTAAGTACTTACACAAAATGATGCCCTCTATTCTAAACCCGGCGTGAGAAATTTGGAAGAAGAAGTAGGTTTTCCTTTATCTATAGATAGTGATATTCAACCAGTTTAGTTATGTGTTTTCCGAACAATTTAAATTTGTTAAAAAATAGATCAAGCTTTGTTAAAAATAATCTAATTTTGTTCTTCGAGGATAAAGCAATCTCAAATAAAAAGACTGAAGTATTCATTTGAACATGAACGGCTTTTTTACCGACGCCATTTGCCAATTCGCATGCAAACCAGCTTATACATAGAGAAGGCCACGAACATCAGCAGAAAAAAAAACGCCTAACGAAAACAAAAGAAGCTATTTCAAAGTCATTTCGCAGTAGTAGCAGGTCACTCTTGGTTTCGTTGTGTGTGTAATTTTTAATTACCCAGTGTGCTGCCGCTCTGACTTCACGGATGGCTTCGAGAAAATGGCGGATGCTAATGCAATCATTAAGCAGTTAATTGTTGCTGCTTACCCTACTGAAGAAACACGGATTGAAGAAACCCATGGGAGGAAGTGTTGCAAAAATACATCCGAAGTTAAAATGGATGAAAATGAAATTGAAGAAACTAATTTAAAAAAAAAAAAGCGGTTTGGTAATAAATAGTTGCCGTTAAACCTTGAAAAAAGTTAATTAATAAATAAATTGAATGCGTTGAATTAATAATTATCAATTGCGATATTTATAAAGAGGGGCAACTTGATAAGTTTTAGTCTGATTCTTTTATTTCCCTTCAGCCTATTGTAAAATTAAAAAGGAAATTTAAATCAAAAATATCATAATGAAAATTAAAGAAGAAATGAAGACTTTCGATTAAGAATTTTATTTTGATGTGAAAATATTAAGATTCAATTTGTGCTATGAAACAGAAAAGTTAATCATTATATTAAATATTGTATGACCCTAAAAGCACGAAACAATTTTCAATAAACCCGATACATTACTGATCAGAGAAAAAAAAATCAAAAACGCCACTCAAGTATGCCTGATAAGATAATAATATTTTTATTATGAAAGATTTTTTAAATAAGTATTTGAAATCAATATGTTATTTTAACTCGTATGACAATTGGGGACTAACTTTCACTTTAAAAAGTGATTTATTACCTGTATAGTACCGTGCTTGATAGAAAAAACAATTAGCTTATCTGTACCTTATCGATTAGTACAATTTTAGACAATGGAACTAGGACTGGTACTATAATAGCTTCAACACAATTGAAGTGGAATAAGATGAATTTAGTTTAATGAAAATACTAAGGTAGCTATGCCCACAATTGTATTCTAGACTAACCCAAAAGAGCTCGATATGATTATGTGAATTCAGAAAGCATCGAAGGTATTTTAGATTAACGAATAATTGTAATGTAATTGTAATATGGTTAATTAATTATTGGGTTGATTATTTCTGGTAGTTTTTTTTTGAAATAATCCGGTTATTTGGAAGTGAAGTCGCCAAGCCAATTTTGAAAAAAGATTTTTCGAATTGTTCGATAGCAATCGGAAGCAATGAAATTCTGATGGATCAAGATCAGGAAAGCAGGCCGGATTTGGAATAACCTCCCAACCTAGCGCCTGAATAGCTGCTTCTTTGTCAAGCTTCAAAATCACACGATCATGATGTCATCGTGGTCCCTTTTCCAGAATCGCGAAGAAAACATGGATTATCATGAATTAAAATGCCCGAGCGATCTTAACTAAAAACCATGTCTTTTTTTTTCAGTGTATCTCCTCCTCAAAAGGTGTAAATGGTTCTAGCAGGATCCGATGCCTTAATTTCTCTTTTAAACTCAAAACTCAAAGAATGTATAGAGTTCTTTTTTGTTTCTACTTGACAATCTTGATTTACGCAATTATCACAGATATTGAAACATTCAAGTTGAAAACAACAGCGACACAGTACAATGCCTAACATTTTTTTTTTTTCGTAGGTTTGCTCTTGAAACCAAGTGTACCTAAGTACACAAAACAAATTGCTTGTACAAGGAAGCTTACGGTGGTGTTTATGTCATAAATAACTGTAGATCAGAGATACACTCCTTCTACAACAAATTTGCAGATGAAATGAGAGTCAATGTTAGTTTGTGAAAAATACAACTAACTTTCTGAATGTAAATAAAATTTATGGATTACCAAGTCAATATCAGTTTTTTTGAGAAACCCGATTAACTGGTAATGTTTGAAAAAACCAATAACATTGTCATATTTTCCTGAAAATACAACCAGAAATGTTTTAACTTCCTGCAGCTGTTCTGAAGAAGTCTGGTCATGATACTTTGCCGGAAAATTGGTTAGTGTTTTATATTTTGAATAATGAGCTTCATAAACCACCAACCATAAATAAATTCCCATTCCCAAAGCCCATGCGTTTAGTGATAGATATTTTTCGATTAGTAAATTTAATTAAAAAGCCAAGCGGTGATAGAAAAGGACGTTTATAGACCAAGTGAGTTAGTTATTAAGTGCAAAATACACCGAAAACCTCAGTGATTAAACCACCACCAAAAAGCCCCTCGTTAAATAACCGCTTACCGGCGCTCGTCCTCGACTTATTCCTAGGCTTATTGGGCGACTGAACTTGGCCTGTCGCCGAGCCCCCCAAACCACCCTTGCTTTGGGGCGAGTAGCCCCCCGCGTGAATACCGTGGCCATACGGCGTAGCCCCATACGAGCTTTCAAAGTTACCATTAAACATGCCACCTGAGGTCCCGTCGAATTCACTACCTTCACGTTGTTTGTTGCTTCCATTGCCGTTCGAACTCACTCCAGAAGGTTTCACATCGAGGGCACAACTCTGGGGATTTTCGTGCATGAAAGCTCCCATGGCGGCAGCTACGGCACTTTGGTACTCCGAACCTGCGCTTGGCGCTACCTGAGAATAACAATAAAATATAACTATTGGATACTTCCGAAAGAAAGCTGGGTATTATTACCGAATCAGGTGTAGAATCCTTGGGCGGTGTAGGTGGAAAGGAAAAAATGTTATGAGGTTGAGCAGGTGCTGTATTAGGGCTCTGGCTCTTATCCGGATCCCCAGCACCTCCTCCGAAAGGTACCCAAGGGCCTGAGTGACCTAAGGGTTTGGCTGACGCATCCGATAACCACGGATGTAAAGGTGGATGGAAATGCGGCCTGCAAACCTGGCTCGATGACATCCGTGATGCTGAAACAAAAAAAAAAACTCATTTGAGCTGACCAATGATAGTTTATTAGAGCATAAACAGAAACCATATTTATAATCTGCCCTCGCGAACCATAAAAAAAAATCATTTCTCATTGTCCGTCTTTTTATTATTCTAATCTTCTTCAATGACTCTACAAAATTATTATGTAAATTTTTGACAGACATTCAAAACAAACGAAGAGTTTAATTGGCCTGGTGTAGAAGGCGGTACTTTCTATGATGATGTAGTAATCGATAGATGTTTGAGTACCAACGTATCGAATAGAAAGAAGGTGATCATCGAAGTCATAATAAGCAAACGGCTATATGAATTTAAGGTTATGGATAGGTCATAGTCATTAAACTTTGTTAATTAATTATAATTAAATAGCTGTTTTATTGCCTTATATGGGATATTATTAAAGTGCTTCGTCAGAAATATTTGACCTTTTAATGATGTGATGTGATCATTTTTTAAGACACTCTGTATATCGTCAATGTCCACTATAAATATTCTTAAACCCTCGGCGATGATTCAGAACTATTTATTTTTCATAAATTATGCTGATTCATATTATAGAGCTAATAATATACGGTCACGATCCACTTTGGCCTTTGTATAACGCGCATTCTTGCTCTACAGGATACTTTTCATACGATTTACTTGTAGTTGTTTTGCTTCTTATTTATTTATTTAGTTTTCACTGTTAAAAATTAAAAAAAATTAAGTAAATAATCACTCTGCGTGCGGTCTCAATTATTATTATTAAAATGTTGAAAATTCATTCCTGTCAACCATGAATATTAAACCGATATTCAGACTATTATGATTCCCCAAAAGTTCTCCAGTTGGTCCTCTGTTACAAGCAAAACCCCATTAAACAATAAATATCCCATTAAGCAACACCACTACCAAAATTAATCACTGCCCCCGCTCGCAGCGCCCTCCCGCTGCTTTCATAAATTATTTTCACACGCAGGAAGCTTTTAGTGGTCTATATAATGTGTATATAAGCCCCATTTTCGAGGCTTGTTATGTAGTATCTGCTGCCCTTTTTGCACCAGAGGCGGGGTTATAAAAAAGACCTTTGGTATTGATTACTTTAAATGCATTTTATTAGCTTTACCGACCGTAATTAAAAAAAAAAAAAACATTCATTTTACCAGAAATATCGAGCAACAAAATAATCAATAAAGAAAACATTTGAGGAATTACTATGAAATTTTCAATAATAACAGTGAATGCTACAGCTTTTTTAGGGACAACTTTGATTCAAAATGGTGGAAGGTACTTTTAGGTTAGAGTGAATGTTAAGAAGTGAAGCAGAAACATTTTGCTTCGTATTTACTAACAGTCATCTTTTCTGGTTTAACACATGGACGTGACGGATCTGGAAGACTATTATCATCAAGGCACCTTCAAAGTTATAGAAAATTACACAAAAAGACAGCGAAAGAAGAATTTTTAAAATACATTTTCATAGTTTAATATGCAATGGCATGAAAAGTAGGTATACCTACTATTGCCACAATCCTAACTTTTGAAATTGACAATAATGAATAATGGCGGATCCGGTTTTCTAAAGTAGCGGAGAAGTGGGAAGATGTTAATATTGTAACGGTAATATTTAGGTAGGTTTATATACGTCGGTGGTTTTTACAACCCTGTCTGATTTCACACCGAGACAAAATTCACAAAAAGCTGAAAAAATTAAAATAACGGATTTTAAAAAAAGAAAAATACGTAAATCAAAAAGTGTTTTTTTCTCGACTCCAGCAGTTCCGAAATGTTTTTGAAATCTTATTTGAACCTGTTTAAAAATGACGTCATTACTTTCATTCGAGAAAAAATGAGGTTTTCAAATCAGAAGAATTTAACCATACATAACCTGGGATTTTTGTTTTTTTTTTTTCTGGTAGGTAATTAGCCATAGCCTATTTTCTATTTTTCGAAAAATTTAAGGGTGTTCTGTTCATGATTCTATAACCTCCTACAAAAGACACAGCACAAGTATAAACATAAACAACAAACTGTCAACTTTCCTAAACTATTGCGCATGCCTTTGTTTTTGAACCGATGCGAAATCTAGTTTCAAAATATTTTCAAACAGTTTTGTTATGACGTCATTAGTTTAACGCGAAAATGTAAATGTTTTGAATTAGGTTCAACCTGGTTTAACCAATTTAAGCGAGAAAAAACACCTATAGATGGCTATGATTTTTTGAACCTAGGTAAGTCTTAGCAATATTTTCCTATAAGTTCGAATAGACGCTCGCAGCTGCTGTATTGTTTTTTTTTTATCCCTGTTCTTCCCATCAAAAGGAAAAAAGATGAGAGATGCTCCGAGCGCACAGTGTTTCAAGACGAAGTCACGGCATGTCGATTTGTCATTTGACTGATGTCATAAACAAAAACAAATAAAACAGAAATAGTTGTATTCCTTTCATACCTAGGAGGAGCTCCGGAACAGCTCCGGGGCGTTACGCGCTTATTCCTTTCGAAAAGTGTTTGTTGCACCCCGCATCTCTCCCTTTAAAATCGGGGTGGACTAACGCCGGAGGGAGTAGCTCGAGTGTTCCAAACTCCTGAAAGGAATACCTACAACTAATGAAGCTCTCAGAAGAGCCTATAATAATAGTCGTTATGAATAATATTGCAAACATTTTCTTAAAATCCTGTGACAAGTTCCACTAGATAAATTCATTTGTTGTAGCCGAGAAATTGAAGTTTTTGGATTTTCATTTGTTGGAAACCGACGCGACGTACGTTTTTGTAATCAAAGCACTCTTTGACTTAGCTTTTTTTTGAATGCCAACCCGTTATTTAAGAGAAATAACATCTTTGATCCTAGGATACTTAAACTATTATCATTGATTGACCATTTTCAGCCCTATACCTTTATGTATATGATTCCAACTCTAAATTTATTTTGATAAGAGGTGAACATACTTCACAGCTAAACAGGCAAGTTGACAAGGATAAAATCAGGAGAAGTAAGATTTCTATAACATTGACTTCTAAAAATTGACTCGCTGACTAATTCAGCCGGCTTCAACATCCTCAAGTCATTTTCCGAAATAATTAAATACAAAAAAGCAGGGATGTGCCGTAGACTATGAAATCTACTTTACGCGGTTTGTCTACTCGTTATCTACGTATTGTTTACATTAACTTTTTTCCAGGAAGACTATGTAAACTGTAGTCAGTGTAGACTGTAGTGTAGACAACGGAAAATTTGAAATTTGAGTTTTTTGAAAGTTTTGCATTGCATTAAATTTCTATTGCAGATATTAAATTAGACTCATCTGCAGTTCAATTATCCTTACAAAGCAAAAAACAAAACAAAGCAAAAACAGAAACATAACCTCAAGGCCTGAAAATTGTCAAAAATTGTATACTTTATGCGTTGTCTACATGTTTTACACGTTGTCTACATATATTATATGGTTTACATTGTCTACGCGTTGTTTACACCAGAACATAGCTGTTGAACCAGTAGCATCTACAACTTTTTTAGTTCTATAACATTTTCTGGTTCATCTTTTGAAATTATTTCAATGAAGGATGAACATGCATTACAGAAACATAGGAAATCAGTACCGTAAAACGGGGTGGCTTGAAACATAAGGGGCCGCTTGAAAAATTACGTTTTTTCATTTAAAATATTGTGCCGCCATCTGGGTGTTGAAGTTGGAACTCCGTAAATCCCAGAGCGCACGTGCAGCATGCTATGAGTGACCGCCCGGCGGTTTTAGTTCATCCTTGGCCGTTCGCGCTGGCGCACCTGAGTGGTTGAGTTTTTGGTGCGAAAACGACTGATTTTTAAGGCTGAATACTTCCAAGTGGTGCAGGTAAGAGGAATATTTCTAGGTGGCGTCAAATTAATTTTGGTATGCCTACTTATTAGGCTTGAAGGGTATAGTAATATATCAATGATAGTTTGCATCGTTTACAAATGGCGGCCTCATTTATTTTTTTTTGTCATTCCAGGGGCGACTTGAAAAATGGTCCGTAATTATGTAAGACGGGCTGGGAGCAGAAAATACCGGGATTATTCCGAAGAACACCTGCTGGAAGCTGTAGAAAGGTGCAGGAGGGGCGAAAACATGAGGGAGGTCGGCGAAGCGTACAATATCCCATACATTACATTGTACCGGAAAATTAGGAACCTCCACACTAAAAAACCAGGGGGACAGACTGCTCTACCAGACGTCGAAGAACAAGCGATTGTTCAGTGTATTGTTACGGCTGCAGACTGGGGATTTCCTATGGATAGCCTGGACATCAAATTGCTAGTTGAAAATTATTTGAACCAGAAGGGTATCGTCCAGCCGCAATTTGTGAACAATAAACCTGGTGAAGGGTGGATGAGTCGATTTCTACAGCGTCATTCTGAACAGGTATCAGCAAGAATGTCGCAAGCAATCAAAGAAAGCAGGGCGAAGGTAAGCCACCTAACTATTAACAAATATTTCGATCACCTCGCTCAATCTTTAAAAGGTATTCCTCCTGAGGCAGTCGTGAATTATGATGAAACAAATTTTACGGACGACCCGGGACGTAAAAAAGTTGTTGTTCGAAGAGCTAGCAAAAGAGCTGAACATATTATGGATACATCGAAAGCTGCCACATCTGTCATGTTCTCATGTTCTGCCTCCGGAAATTTACTACCATTGTACATCGTTTATAAGGCGGATCATCTGTGGAGTACTTGGACCGAAAACGGTCCACCAAGAGCAAGATTCAACCGTAGCAAATCGGGATGGTTTGACGGAAGCATTTTTGAGGATTGGTTTTTTCATGTGATTGTACCATATTTTCAAAATTTGCCAGAGGGTCCAAAGGCACTAATTGGTGACAATTTAGCTAGTCACATCTCGTTTAATGTGATCAACAAATGTCGAGAGCTTAATATAAAATTCATTCTGCTTCCCCCCAACAGTACTCATATGACGCAACCACTTGACGTCAGCGTGTTTAGGCCTGTCAAAGGCGCCTG